TTGTGCCCCGCCAGCTTGGCAGGCGGGGAGTAGCGGGGAAGCTGCTGGCCTGGCTGTGCTCTCAACCGCTCCGAGCGCCCCGCAGCTGCCAGCTGACGTGCCAGCTCCTCTTGAAGAGCCTGCAAATGCCCCACTTCTCCGTTTGCAGTTTCTAATGTCACTCCAATGCTCAGCAGTGCCAGGCACCCACTAGAGCTCCCTTTCGCAAGGCGCTGTGCGTACATGCAGCGAAAAGACAGCTCCTGGCCCAGCAAGCCAGTGACTGAAGTTCACGAGAGTGAAGGGGACTAGAGGGGTAAGGAGAAATTGGTGATGTCCTAGTGCAGAGAGAGCAGCAGAAGAGGAGAAGACTAGAGAAATGACAAGGGCAATGAGTCTGTTAGGTCTGGGAAAGCTAGAAAAGTCGTGTTGGCTTAGCTAGGAGGTGTCTGAGCTGAAGAAGGGAAAAAGCTGCAAAGGAGGAAATGAGCCTGGTTACAGGAGACGTGCCAAAGGCACTGAGAAGAAAGCTGGAAAGGATGAAAAACATGGCTAGAAGAGGCAGAGCGGGATGTGGCGATCAGAGAGAAGACTAAAAGAAACGAGACCCTAGAAACGTAACAAGGCTGAGAGCAGGTGAGAAGCCAGCAGTGCCAATGGGCAGGACGTTACAGAAAGGCTGGTACGGAGCTAGAGAGTTGCCCTTGCTTTCTGCTGACTTCCAACATGGCCGTACTAAGCCTTGCACTGACGTTGTCCCTATGGGGAACTGGAGGTGCCGGATTGCTCTGTCCAGCCCTTATCTCTGATTCTGTTTGTTCTGCAGTTCAAATCGGCAAAAAATGGCTGATGGTAAGGAGGACCCTGCGGTGTTTACCTCCGCTTCTCTGCCCTCAGACCCACGGCTTCTCGCTACGGTGACCAACGCTTACCTGGGCACCCGCGTGTATCGGGACGTCCTCCACGTCAACGGGGTGTATAATGGAGCTGTGGGAGACACGCATCGTGCTGACGTCCCCAGCCCTGTCAACGTTAGAATGACCAAGCCTAGTACGGACAAGCTGACCGAGACCTTCACTTTGGATACCCGGACAGGTAAATAGCAGAGGTAGGAACCTGCCTGGGCTGCAACTTCCTTTTATTTCTGTGTCATATTCACCTCCCGCTCTTTTCCCGCAACTGTTGGCGACCCCCTTTTAGAGGTTAAATTTATCCTTGCTTGTGGAAGGTCTCTGGGATCATCTTGGTTCTCCCCAGGCTCTGTTCATCTGTGGGGTGACTGCCTGTGCTGAATAGGCCTGTGACTGGAGTCAGCTTCATCCCAGGAGTGATTCCTCTGACCTAACTTCAGGTGCCTACAGTGCTGGAGTCTGCACGCAAACTAGGCGTCTACTATTGTAGTTAAAGGAGACTTAGTCAATAAATTCAAGGGTATAGATAAAGTTATTCCCCTTGTCTTAGAGTAGATATCGACATCAGATGAGATGAATCATACCCTAAATTTGATTGACTGTCGCAGGCGTCCAACCCTTTGGTTCAAGATGCAGATGTTTATTTTGTAGGCATCTAACGGTTACGTCAGGTGAATTCCACCATGTGTTTCTAAAGGAGCCAGAAATGGATATGGTTTTGTGCTCACTTTGACCTTTAGACAGCAGCCATCTCAGACCTTGGTAGAATGTAAACAATTGTAATGGGGAGAATGGCAGGTGGGGGTGTCTTCCCCCCTCCCCCAAGTTATCTGGGAGTACTTGTTTTGCATGTTTCAAGATTTAGCTGTACCAAGTACTAGATTCATTTATTTCCAGAAGCAGTTCTTCTCTAAGTAGTATGGCCTGAACAGACTGGACTCGGAATGCAAAGGACTTTCCTTCCTTAGGTCGTTCTTCTAAAGTCGTGTTGGAGCAAGTGGAGGTTTTCCATTTTTGTGAGAATAGGAACATACAATTTTCGGAGCATATCTCAGCCACTGCTGGAGCCTGGCTCAGCAAACAGCATTTAATCGTGAAGCTTGGTGAAATATGCTATAGCCCAAATCATTCCTCGCTTGCCTGGCCAGATTAAGTGTGTTAACTGTGTGTTAATAGTCCTCCTAACGATGTCAAGACTCGATTCCACTCTCAGCTAAGACTGAATTTGGCTGTCTCAGGCTAAAAACCCGACAAGTGAAAAGGCTGATGGCTCTCGTTGTCCTTACAGGAACCTTCAGCCACGTGCTTCAGTCAGCTGATTATACAGCAACCCATCAGATCTATGCTCACCATTCTCTTGTCCACTTGATGGCCTTCAGCATCACCATCCAGCGATCAGCTCACACCAGACAAGCCATCATGGTGCAGCTCCAGACTCCTTTTGTGCCGAAGAGCCAGGACCTAGACCTGTATCAGGGACCAGACTTCCAGGGAGCTCAGTGAGTGTGGATCATGGAGGGGGGCATTGCCCTGACTGTATCTTTCGTAGCCTATAGATCTCTACTCTGCTCTCAAATAGGGAATAAACTGCAAAAGCAGGGGCAGAGCTAGACTGATAAGGTAGGTGGCACGGAGGCTTATGTAAACCTGCCTCTTTCTGGCAGGCATGCTTTAAAAAATATATTATATATAAGCATTTATTAGCTGTAACTCCAGAATTATTACTTACACCAATGTGTAGAAGAGCAACAAAGGCCACAGAGACTAGATGTGATGACAAAGTGAATTTAGGGAAGATGGTAAGTTTAGAGGAGGTGACCTCTAGAAATGGCTTACTGAAATTGGGGACCCATGGGAGAGTTGTAATGAATTTCAATCTCATGCTTTTCTGGGGATGGGATTGCAGCAGAGTTGAAGCATGAGGACAAGGGAGCTCCCATCCTAGATGGGAATAAGAGCTAGATACTCAGCTGCTGTGGGGCAGTTCCCCTCTGCATGAGTGGAGTTGCGCTAACTGATGTGCAGCAAGTACCATCTGCTCTGCTGTCCCTTTCCCCTTTGCTTCCCGTCTCTTGTAGCTACATCTATGGGAAGACATTGGTTCCCGAGGTGGACGGCGGACCCCGGCCCACAGTTCACATGCTCTGGACTCCAGTGCCGCAAGCTGTGATCTTGCATGGGGAGGAGCAGGAGAGAACCTGGGAATTCCTGACCGCTGTGGCTGAGAGCGAAGAAGAAGTGAAGAGGAGCTACAGCGAAGGGATGGCTCGCATTGCTACCGGCACCCTGTACTCCTCCCACACGCAGGCCTGGGCAACGCTTTGGAGAGGATGCTGCATAGAACTGGATGGCCCTCTGCCTTTGCAACAGGCCCTTTACGGGTGTCTCTATTACCTACTGAGTGCTATCCCTCCCCTTGGGAACCCCGACTTCCTTTTCCATGGTATCAGTCCTGGTGGCTTATCCAATGGCAGTCAGGGTGAAGACTACTGGGGGCATGTCTTCTGGGACCAGGTGGGTTGAGGCTGTGTTATCTGGTAATCTGCAGCCTTTCTGCATCATCTGAGGCTGAGAAGCCCAGCGTGAGCCTGCTAGGAGGCCATATTCTTACTGGTGATATGGGTATCTTGGCGTCAGCTCCTTGTAGGAGAGCATCCTCTGGCTCTCTTGGTAACAGCTGCCAAGGCCCAGATCGATTCTTTAAGTCAGATCCCAGGTGGTCCAGAAGAGGCATTTTCTCCTGTGTTGGTCATATAGGGCAATTGTGAGTAGGGCTTGCCCCTCCTAACTCAAGAGCAAATTGTCTAAATCAAAGCTGAATGCCTGGTGTTGCTGTGTGGGCCAGGGTCTAGGAGAGGTCTCTCCAAAGGGCAGCTCTCCTCCAACTAAGATCTGGGGCTAAGACAGTTTTGGGTCACTTGCTCAAGGGAGGTCAATGCAAAGGGAACCTCGGTGACTAGCTTAGAACCAGGCCGTGAACTCCTAGCTGTTTAAAATTGGGTGAGATGAATTCCCGCCACCCAGCTTTGTTGGCTCTACCACAGGCAGAAACCAGGCATAGGTGAGCCCTATCGTGCCTGAACTGACCACTGAAAAACCTGAAGTCTTTTCTGCTATGGGCACATTTGCCTTTTAAAAAAAGGCTTTGTGTGGACTCGGTAGCCAAGTCGGCCCAGGTGGTTTTGTCCTAGCTAGAGGTTTAGATCTGCTCCCTGAGTATCCACACTAAAAGTACAGGGAAGAAGTTTGCAGCTCTGCAATGGAGTCCGTTATCATGAGAAGGGAACGCTGCCGGATTACGCTGAGGCAGTTCCTTCCTCCTGTGCAAAATCTAGTCTGGTCTGTCATTGGGAAAGTGCTTTTTGGTTCTGTGAGCCTTGCTCGCCTTCCGTCTAGTAAGGCGGGTGGTTTTTGACTCTCCCCTCCCCAGTGCCAGCCTTTGGAGGACTCCTGCCTCCCCTCTCTTGCATAGTGGGGATTCTTGCTGAGGTGATTTTAGCAAGACACCCTGGGGGAGACCGGCATAGAGAGGCAGGCATGGGTGCCTGGCTGCCTCTGTGAGGGCAGAAACAATCCCTCGTGGATATGTTCCTTGTAATGAGCCAAGGTGACAGCACCTTTAAGGAGTGGCCAAATCACGGTCAGAGCACGAAGAGAGAAGTGGAATGGGGCTGTGCTTGAAGGGTGAACCTCTAAAGGGTGGTGGGAATGTCTGGGTGCCCTAACGGCCGCTTCCATGATCTGCCCCTTCTGACTTGCCCTGCTTTGCTGTTTCCAGGACACCTGGATGTTCCCAAACATCCTCCTGTTTTATCCTGAAGCTGCCCGAGCCATCTTGGAGTACCGGATTCGCACACTGGGAGGAGCTTTACGCAACGCGCAGGAGCAAGGCTACAAGGTGGGAACAGAGAGCCTGGGCTGCAGTCAACCCAGCCAATGTCGCATAGAAGGGCGGTTAAGCTTTGCTCTTCCTCCCTGGTTTTAACCGAGGGGCTGTGAGCTGGGCATTGCCTGCGAGCGGTGGACTCGGGAGAGCGTCTTGATGTTGTGCTTCCCTTCCCTCTGGCAGTGCTCAACCGCCCCACGGATATTTTCTCCTGGCAGGGTGCCAAGTTTCCGTGGGAGAGCGCAGCTACTGGCCGGGAAGTCTGCCCAGAGGAGATTTATGGAGCTCAAGAAATTCATGTCACCGGGGATGTTTTGATGGCCTTTGAGCAGTATTACCACACCACACAGGTAAAGGGAGTGTGCGCCTTATGGATGGCGCAGGCAAGGGGCCGGCCCAGTGGCAAGGCCTGCAGGGCATCTGGTGACTGACGCTGTCCCTTCCCAGAGAAGCTCTGCTGTTATCTGCTCCAATCAGAACTGCCAGTAACGCCACAGGTCCCCTTCTTCAGCCCTGGCTCCTCTGTTCTTGTTCCTCATGGATGGCTCAGCATCCTGTTGCCTCAATCCAGGCCAGTTTTTCTGTCCTCTTCTCCTCCTATGTCTGTTTCATTAGCGCTGCTGTCATCTTGCTGAATTTGGGCCTGATTGAGTCTCTCTCTCATGTTCCCCTGTCTCTGTTTCTCTCTGGCCTTGATTGCTTCCAGGACCAGAAGCTGTTCAGGGAGGATGGAGGCTGGAACCTGGTTGGTGCCGTCGCTCAGTACTGGTGCAGCAGGATGGTGTGGAATGAGGAGGAGCAATGCTACCACATCAAAGGTACTTCTGCAACTGCTGGGCCTGCTTATGGGGAAGGATCTTGCAAACAGAGGCTCAGAGCCCCTCCAGCCAGACCTGAACGGAAGTACACGGACACTTCAGACTTCTGCCCTTTTGACTATCTCACAGAAGATGGTCATGGCCATGTAAACACAGGGCTTGATGCCAAGCTCTTTTTTTTCCCTTCAGCAAGTGTCAGTACATCCCAAGCTCACACAACATGTCTTTTCCCTCCCCTGGCCACAGTGCTGAATTCTTCCAGCCCAGAAGTTTGTGTGGTAGTTCGTATCTCCTCAGTGCCATAGTAGCAGTTGTTTCTGTCTCAGTCCCTTGACTCTCGTGGGACAACTCTAAAAGTCTCCTCCTGTGGCAGTACAGCTGATGCAACAAGAACAGATGCCATTTCAGGTCTGCTGTTGACTGGTGGCATTTAGGGAAAATATAGAGCACTGCCTTCATCAGTGCAGGGGCTTTACAGGCGAAGGACTCGGCAGCGCTGAGACTATATAGATACATATACATACATATATATATTTATATATGTATGTATGTATACACATGTAGTCTCACAGCATAGTCTCAGCAACACAGATATATGTCTCTTTTTGAAGAGACTTGAGTTCAAATCCCCCAGTAGCCTCCAGGAGTTAAATCACATCCTATCCTTTGAAAGACTTCTGGTGCTACTGGTGCCAAACAAGTACAACTGCTGATATGCCTGACAGGGCAAAGGGTCTCTCCGCGGGCAGCAGTTCTGCTGAAGCACGTTATACTGAATAAGCAGTGGTGACCACTGGCTTTTCCCACTGAATGGGGGTATTGAAGAAGAAAACTAGAAGGTATGGGGGAGCAGGGTCTGGAGTAGCAGGCTTGGTAAAAGCCAAGGCGTCTCTGTGCAGCTGGGGTGATCCGAGCTAGAAAAGTCCCTCAGATGGCTCTTGGTCTGTAGACTCTTTGCAGAGAGCCCCAGTGTCCCCCAAAGAATCACATATTTGAATGTGTACTTCCACTTTTCTCCTGGGGAAATGGACATCTGTCTTCCTGGGGATAATCTGTACGCACAGAGTAAAGGAAAGAGGTGAGCTTGTAGCTAGGGGAAGACATCTAATTCGCAGCTTGAAGATCCCCTTGCCTGTGGGCCTCAACCCTGAAGTGAGGGAGGTGCCCTCCGGTTGAGGTGTCTGCTACCCAGACAGCCTTTACTTTCTCGGATAAAGCTTTAAGTCAGCGTGTTTCTCCTTCGCAACAACCACCACGTAGTCTTGTCTACGCTGTGGGATCCTGACAGACGCACAGAGGCAGCGCCTGAGTGCCTTGTGGGCGTGCGTCAGCGCAACAGAAGGGGTTCCCTTCCTCGCGCCAGTTCCCTGAGGAGGGGCACAAAGCAGTAGCAAACCTTGGGGGTGCTGCAGTGTGAAGTGTCTCCTCCCTCTTCCCCCAGGTGTCATGCCCCCAGATGAGTATCACTACCAGGTTGATAACTCTGTTTACACCAACGCCTTGGCCCAGAGGAGGTAACGTGCATGCTTTATTGAAGCGCTGGACTATCTCCCCGTTCTGCCTAGCATTCTGGCAAGGGTAGGAGGCAGCAAAGTTCTGATGTGGAATACTCCTTTTCTCTCTTTGTGTGTCTCTATTCGAGCTGCTCTTCTTTGGCTTCCTTTACAGTCAGGGAAGAGAAGTAGGTCCTTCCATGGTGATTCACCTGACCTGTTTCGTTTGTCTATGTTACTGAGAAGAATTTCACCTTGCAAGAGCATTTCTCTCACTGTGTTGGGTGGGGAATCTAGACAGTTAGTCAGCTGAAGACATCTAGAGCTAGTGGAGCTGAGTCCCACCTCCAGCGATGACAACTGTTCCTCCAAGCTTTATGCTCTGACCCATGTTATTTCAAAATAACTGTTTCTTTGCAGGGAATCTGACTCAATTCTTTCTGTGTATTCCCTTCCTTTTTCACTCTTGGAGGTGTCGCAGACACTCGTGCTTGATATAAACTGTTGTTGCTTGGTTCTTTTCAGTTTAAATTTTGCAGCTGATGTTGCACGGGACTTCTTGATCCCTGTACCAGAGGAGTGGGTGGAATGCGCCAAGAAAGTCAAAGTGCCGTTTGATGCAGAGAAGAAGTATCATCCTGAATATGATGGTTACCACCCAGGTGAGCAGAAAGGCAACAGCAGAGCTTTGAATTGGTCACTGCTCTTGCTCAAGTCTGTAACGAGTGGGGATTCTGACCAGTTCAAAGGTGGAAACGATGGCTGAATGGCTAGCTGAGGAAGGGAATTCCAGCGTTGCTGCCTGAGTGCAGAGGTGGCATGAAATCACTGAAACTGGGTTCCCACTCCAAAGAACCTGATTTGCTGATTGGTGGATCTTTTCTCATTATTGGGCTCATAAAATTGGAAATTTGGGCACACGAGGTAAGAAGAGGCCTGTAGTACTTGGGCTGTTGGCCTGCAGGTGCCGTGTTGTTATGAACCCTTTTTCAACCATTAAGACTATCTTTTGAAGGTCGAGTATCACTCACTGCTCTTCCTGTAAAACGCTGTCCCTCTGAAAAGTGAAGGGGCTGGTTCAAGTCGAAATGCATGCTTTTGCAACTCTGACCCTGCTGCCTGGGCTCCCTTTGCAGTTCCGCTACCTTTCCTCTGTGGCATGATGTTGTTCTAAGTTTATGATTCTGTGTGAGCCAGACTTGTTCCCCTTCTCGGTAAGCAGGCAATCAGTCTGCCAGTTATTTCCAGCTGGCGTATACAGTCTGACTGATGTTGGCTGCTTTGTCCAGGTGAGCCCGTGAAACAAGCTGATGTTGTCTTGCTTGGGTTCCCTCTGATGTACCCCATGAGTCCTGAAGTCCGGAGAAATGACCTGGAGATGTATGAATCTGTCACTGTGCTGGATGGGCCAGCCATGACCTGGGTAAGGTGAGGGGCAAAGCCTGGGGTGGGATTCATCAGCAAAGTAGTAGTTTCCATCCGAGTTAGTCACCACCAACTCTTATCAGTGGCACAATTTGTTACCCTTGCTGTAGGGAGTTTGGACCATTAGCTCAGAGCTAAGATGTGCACTGAAGATGTCTACACTGGGACGGGTGGATGCCCGTTGTGGTGCCCATCTGAAGGGGGGAAAAGCCGTTAGCTTGACTTTGCCGTACAGTCACCCTCGAGGAGGGCAGCAGCAGATGAAAGGACAGTTTTCTCTCCCACAGAGCATGTTTGCAGTGGGCTGGCTGGAGCTGAAGGAAGCACAGAGAGCACAGAGTCAACTGAGCAAATGTTTCAGCAACATTACGGAGCCCTTCAAGGTTAGCTGTGCGGAGTGTGGTTGCTGCCTTGCTGTGACAAATGTTTATCGTCTGTCAGTGTGATGGGGCCTATCTGGGGACAGGCCAGAAAGAAACATCACTTGGAGTGGAGCCTATGCTTGTGTTCTCTAGGTTATTGTTGTATCGAGATAGGTGGTTCCACGCTATCTCTTCTCTGCATGTTTCTAATGAGCAGTGAGGAGATACCTCCTTCTTACCAGGCAATACAGAGCCAAGGGGTTGGCATCATGCCCACTTCAGGCTTTCTCCCGTCTCTTGGGGACGGGAAAGGGAACGGAGATGGGACCTGCAGACGTCCCAGAGCCCGGCACCTCATGCCAAGATGGGCAGCAGGGTACAGTCATTGCAACACCCTAAACATGTGACAGTAGTGACATTAAGCACATTCAAACCCACATAACAGTTGCACTGGGACTCTTCATACAGTTAAGTTGTTCCTTTCTCTTGCTGGAGCAGATCTGGGTGGAGAACTCTGATGGGTCTGGAGCTGTGAACTTCTTGACAGGGATGGGTGGATTCCTGCAAGCTGTCCTCTTTGGCTACACAGGGTTCAGGTGAGATCTATGTTGCTGTCTTGTTTAATTTCTAAGCAGCTGAAAGTCTCTTGAAACCTTAGTGTTTAGCTGGAGCAACATGCTGTTACTAAAGAAGGAGAAAGGAACTCGGAGTATGTAGCAGCTGCCACAACACATCCTCCAGAAACTCCCAGCAGGTGAGGAACAAACATAAGGAGCATTAGCAATCCCAAAGAAACTGTGGCTGCTGGGGCAATTGGTCGCTAGTGGAGAAGTTCTCAGAAGTGATGAGCTTTAGTCTTTTTCTCCTCCATCATCAGCTTTAAACATCAGTGTTTAAAGCCCTTGGCTTCAAAGGGGTCAAAGTTAGGCCAACACTGAGCTCTTCTGAAAACGCTACTTGGTGTCCTCAGTGAAGACTGACATCTCTGTATGGGCTCAGGATCGTGGCTAGCCTGTGTAACTTTGTCTTCATGTCAGAAACACATCCAGACCTGCCTGTTTCATAGGTGGTTATAGCTTGGTTTCTTCACTAGGTAAGGACGAAGCTTTAAGACTAGAATCCACCAATTATGCTGGCCTTTTGATTAACTAATTGAAGAGGAAGCCCATACAACCACCTCACAGGTGAATACAAGCCTGCTTCTTATTTAGACTGTTATGTTGTAGCCCTTCTGAGGGACTTTTGTGAATTGCGACCCTAGTCCTCTACAGCTACCATCACACTGAGCTGCAATAGGCATATTCTTTCCATTTCAAAGACTGGAAACAGAGATTCAGAAAAGAGACTCTCTAAGTCACATAATGAATTAGCTGCAGATTTGGGAAGGTAAGTGTCACTCCCTAAGTCTCAGTCCTGTCCCGAAATGTGACATGGGAACTTCCCTCCTTTTGAGGGAGAGAAAAAAGAGATAAAAATCTCAAGGAAAAACTGCTGCTTTACAAAGCTGCTTCATCCCTTCCTTTTCTTGTCTCTGCTGAGTAGGAAGGAAGTTGCAAACAGGCAGAAACTCTCTTCTGTGTTGCTTGTGCATGATATCACCAGGCCGTGGTGGATATCACATCACTGAGTCTGTGACACTATTGAGACAGGAAGAAACCTGGACGCATTTGCTATTCGCACAGAGGCTTTCTCTAGGCAGGATGCGGGGTGGAACGTAGAAAAGAGAAAGGTGTTTGCATCGAGGACCAGTTGGTTTATTTAAGAGGCAATAATGGCAGTCAAGTCTTTCCACCAAAAGAGTTGGTTCTAGTTTGTTTGCAGTAGGTTGCCTGAAGATTTTTTTTTTTTTGACCATAAGACTTGTATCTAGCAACAATTGTAGAATGAAGCCAACTGAATCTAATATTAGATTTGAACAATGCAGGGCCCCAAACGTTACCATAATAAGCTAAGACTGGCAGTGCCCAGAATTAAAAATAATCTGGCTTCCCCACAGAAGCTTGGAAACCGTAAATAATGGAAGAGTTAAAATAAGATCTGTAAAAGAGGGCAAGTCACCTGCTGAGTCTGAGAAGCAAGGTGAGAAGGAAGCCAATGCAGGGAGTAGTAGATGGCTTGGTTAACACCCAGCCTCCCCTGTGAGAAATGCCACACAAACCTTCTTCAGCCCCTCTGAGGAGATCTGCCAGGCATGCATATGTGTCTCTGAAAGTCTCTGAGCCCCTGTGCTCAGCTGGAACCTCCCTGGCATTAAAATATCTCAGAAAACGCATTAAGTTGCTCATATAATTTCAGAGTTATGTTGCATATCCAAAACAGCCTGGTGGTTTCAGCCCTAAAGCGAGAGTCCCTTGAGCATATTCTTAGCGTTTAATTGAGGATGGATCAAACTGACAAGCCTTTTGATTTGTAACAAAGCCTTCTAGCACTAACTCTGTGTTTTTTTACTGTGTGTGTATGTGTGGTCAGCATTTATTGAGAAACCCTCCAAACTCTTGGTGGAGCTGGGTGTGAGCTACCGTGTTCCCAGCTGAAAACCTTAATCTCAGAGTACATGAATACCTTCGAGTTTTGTAAAAGCTATATGGCTAGTTGGGCCCCTCTAGGCACAGGCTCAAGCCACAAACTTCTGGTCTCGAGCCAAATTTCCACAAATGTTGTGGTGACGGTTACACAGTCTGTTAAAGGTGGACACCTCAAGACCACGCTCAGCTGCCTTGCCTGTTGTAAGCCACGGGCCCAGCTTGCGTGTTAGCCTGCCACTCGGTGCAGCTGCTACGTGGCTGCATGCTCAGGGCAACGCAGAAACAGCCCGTGGGCATTCAGCTCTGATATTTCTACTGCACTTAATCCTCAGGTGGAGGACTGGTGCAATGAGCGTCTGGCACTGCCAACGAGAGCAGAACCCATACGGAATAGCCTGGGGACTGTGATCACGTCAAGGTTTCTGGGTGGGAGGTAGTGATCACTGTCTTTGTCATCGTGTTACCGTTACTGGTTGGCTCTAAAGCCAAAACATGCAAATGATTCTGCTTGACTTTGAGATAAAGATTTGGAGATAGAACTCAAGCTGCTTGCTTGATTTTTTTTTTTTTTATGCTGTTAAGAAATGAAAAGCACGGGACTCGGGGATGGTGCTGAATTTAAAGCCAAGAGGCATGAGTGGGAACTGATGCAGCTTTCTGAACACTGCTTCACTGATTTGCTTCTGTTAACAGCCTGGAGGGAAAGTGAAAACCTGGCTATGTGTGTGCATCTGTAAGATAGCAAATTACTGAAAGCTGAAAGGAGTGGTACTAACAGTCAGGCATGTCTCAGTTTAATTCCGAGGAGCACTTCCTGGGGTATCTCCATTAGGAACGAGGTGAAGAACTCCCAGTATTTCCTCACCAGGGTCATATAGCTTTCAGAGCACTGTCAAGTGCTAACATCCGCTTGCTATTAGGTTTTTCTGGCTGCATTTGAACTTGCATCCTAAAAATCTAGGCTACGAATATCACTGGCACTCTCCTGAGCTATTCAAATCGCTGGAGTTTAGTTCCAGTACTGGGCATGGCCCAGAGCCGAGTCCACAGTTTCACCCTACCAGATCTCAGGGGCAATTCCTATGCATAGCCACCTCTGCTTTCCACTGCTTTTTCCTACTGCCTGTTCTCCTCCCGGTCCCAGGGTAGGCTGTTCCCTTAGTTTTGCCAGCATAGCTACTGCTGACGTCCCACCCTGAACTGGAGTGGGGAATGAGCTGCCTTGTAAGAAAAAAGCTTTTTTTTTTTTTTTTTTAAATCTAGTCTAATGGACCCCATGGATCCCAAACAGTTGTGTCAAAATAACTGAGAAGCTAGAGCAGGACAAACATGCCTTAGGGTTCGGGTTTGCGATGCCGTAGCCTGAGTAGCTCTTCACTAGATGCTTCATCAGTGTGTTCTGGATTTGCCAAGAGGTCCCTGGGATACACCAAGGACTTTCTTACTGAGCAATGCAAGGACTAACAGGACTGGCCTCTGGGGCTGTGCTGTTTTGGGAGATGGCTGTTTTGGCTTGTGGCCACGATTGTTCCCACCGCTGACTTGCCCCTGCCTTTGCAGGATTACAAAGAGAAGCCTTCGTTTTGATCCTGCGTGTCCTAATGACATAAACAGATTGAAAGTCACTGGAGTCTCCTACTTTGGCAACAAACTGAAGTTCACCATCACCAAAGAAAAGATCAAGATCAAAGTGACCAAGTCTCCCCTCGATGCTCCTGCCTCTCTCCTGGAGGCTGTGCTAGAGGAATCAGGGCAGCGATTTCCTTTGTTTGAAGGTACGGCGTCTCCTGGGTGTAACCCTGGATCTCTGCCTCCTTCCAGGAGGGTCTCTCTGTGCAGAGCTGTAGAAAGCTGTGTCGGGAGCCTGACTCCCTAACCAAGTCCCTAACTTCCCTGACTCTGCGAGTGATAGCTAGGATTAGGGGAGTGGGGTGGACTAACTGCGCTTAGCACATCCAGGTCCAACAGTGTCAGGCCCCACAGTCTTTTGGCAGGGCAAGTAGGCTGTGTAGTTATCAAACAGCATTTCCCGCCTGCTCTCTATTTAGAAAGTCACCACTTGGGCCAGCCGCTTAAAAATATTGTAAAGACCACCTTGGGAGAAGCCGTTCCCACACCTCACGTGCTTTACTTTTTATTGCAGGGCAGAGTGTCTCTTTCCCCACCTCAGCTGGCTGGATTCAGAGGTTATCCACTGAGGCTTTGTAAACTCCAGCAGACTTGGGGTTTACATGGCAGGTACTAAAACCACCAGAGTTGCAGAAACAAGGCACAGAACAGAAGCTGGCAGGATGGAAAGGTCAAGGCGCTGTGCTGCCATGGGGTGGGGGGGCGTGGAAGGTGGGTGTCCTGCTCGGTACCATAAAAACCCTTTGCCCAATGGGGCTGTGTGCGCCTTCTCCTGTCTTTGTAGCCGTTGGGAACGTGCCAGGCTGGGAAGGGGCAGTGGAACCGTCTTGTGCCACCACTGGCAAATACAGGCTTTGGGAGTCGGTTTTTATCGACCTTTGAGTTTTGCTCGACTGGTTAATATCTGTCACCTTGTCTCTCTTGCTCTTCTGTGGATTTACAGGCCCATGCCCTCCTCTTCCACTGAGATCTTTCTGCCGCTTCTTTCTTGAAGCGCTGCTTCTGGGCCCTGCGTTGCACTTGTACGTGAGACATCCAGGAGCTTCCCCCAGCGCAGCCATCCCCAAGCTTTCACCGTTGCTGGGGTGGCAGTAGCTTTCTCAGTGAATGTGAGCATCCCTTTCTGTTCCAGGGGATGGTGAGGCCATTCACGTGCCCTTAAAATCTCTCACTTAGGTTTGAATTTTTTTTTTTTATCTCCTCTGCTAAAAGCCAGCTGCTTCCCCTTGAGGATGATGATTCCTCCATTCAGCGTGGAGGATTTGCACCAGGGCGAAGCTGGGATGTTTAGGCCCAGTTGGAAGCAAATTGCCTGCAACCTCTGGCAGTCCTGGGGATGCTGAAGTCCAAGTATTTCTCTGACTTAGCTGTTCGGTGGCTGAAAGCTGGTGAAAGGCTAATGCTCTCTCTGCGCTTCCTGCATGCAGTCCACGTGAACAAGCCACTGGATCCGACAGCCTTGTTTGGGTTTGGTTCTCTGCTGTTCCCTTGCAGCAGTGTAAATGGGCTGAGGCCAAAGAGGAAAGTCCCTCATTGTGTTAACTGCAAATGCTAGTGTTAGTTCTTCTGTGAACTGAGTCCGTCGGAGGTGTATGACCACGTTCTGGGAACAGAAGTGACATGGTTAAAGATGAGAGCCAGGAAGCCGCTATTGTAAACAAGTTTTCTAAACAGCCGTGACTGGTTTATTAATTCTTTAAATGCCTTCATTTATAAGGCACAAAGCTGTCCCTGGAGATTTCCTATGCAGAACAATGGGAATGCCTGAAACCTGATCGACGCAGTAATGAGAAATTCAAGGCCTGGCAGAGGTACTTGTTTCCTTGTAGGTTCAGGGTCAGGATGTAAGAGTAGCTAGGGTTCCTCCGAATGGTCACCCTTCGGCATCTAGGGACCCGTAGGTGTTCCCAAAAGACCCACAGGACTCCTGAGGAGGAGTAAAATACAGCAATGGCCATCTTGACCATGGCGAAGGGAGGAAACCTGGATGCAGGGTTGCAGGCGGTCTCCGCACTTGGACAACGTGCGGCAGGGAGCTGGCATAAGACAGCACGGCCCAGCAGCGGGGGCACCAGCCTAGGACTCGGCAGGCTTGGGCCCTTCTCCCAGCTCTGTCCCTGGCCTACTGGTGACCTGATTTCCCTTTCTCTGAAAGCGTTATTATTGTCGAGCAAGTTATTGTGGTCTTTTTCAAATGGTTGACAACTTCAGCTTCTTACACGCTCATGACTTCATTAAGGGTTGTTGCAGGGTGGGCAAAAGCAAGACTAAAGCTGACGGTTACTTTAATGTTAGTCACAAAATAAACACAAATCTAGGTTAACCTGAGTTACTAGAGGGCCTGTCCCGTGGTCTTTTCAGAGTCAGCGGCATGGCTGAGTAATACTTGTCTTCTGCTGTTGCTATACAGGTTGCTATACTCTGAAGCGCCTGAAAGCGTCTTAGCCCAGTTTTGGCTGGTGTACAGTTCCTTTTTACTTGAGTTATTCTGATTATAGTGTGCATATCCAACAATTTAAGTTCTTATTCCTTTGTCTACATTATGCTCCCTCTTTTGAAGCAATCTGAGACTTAAACTCCGAGTTAGATTGGAGTTGAAAGGGATAGAGAAAGCCCAGGCATCAGCTACTGTTCATATGATGTCAGATGAGTGCAAAGTTGTCCCTCCAGTGTCATGTCTTTGCTTAAGGCATCTCTGATGTCCTAGAAAGCTATGAAGGATAAAGTCGGTGCAGGTGAGCTCCCAGCCTATGCTGCGAAAGTTCCCAGTGCCTAACTTCAAAATGAGTTGGAAGGTTACTGGACAGCAGAGGCACTAGCTCTTGCGCTTCAACTCACTGGCCTAAACCAAGACAGGCTCCTGCTTGACCGGCACCGCTCCCCCAGGCGAGGATCTGCTCCAGCCCAGTGCCTGCTCCAATGTGCCTTCTGGGAACGATGCAAAGAGAAAGAACCCGTCAGGGATGGTTTGTCAGCCAGGTCAGAGGCAAAGGATGTGTTAAAGCCCTGAGGGAAAGGCTGGCACGGGCATTTTATAGCCCGAGCAAACAAAACCGAGGTCACTGGGGCTGCAGCTTGGGCTTTGGATTAGAAAGGGCAGAAGATGCATGGCGTTGGGGAAGTAAAAACAGTGGGCGTGCGCTGTGTGTACAGGTGAGGGGGCATGATACCCCAAAACACCCAACACCCGATTCCCTGGCCCACAGCAGTTTCTGCTGCTGCTTCCTCATTCCTCAGCGCCGCTTTGGTGTCTCTTGTCCCTGCTCCACCCGCCACATGTGTCAAACAAGGGCACATTTCTAGAGCGGACATGTGTCAAACAAGGGCATTTCAAAGCCGCTCCTGGCCTGGCAGAATTTCTATTTTTTTTTTTATTCCCTCCTCTGTAAACAAAACCCAGAAATCTCAAATTAATCCTGAGGAGTTTATAAAAAGCCCTGCGGCCGCTCCACGCGGTGGGCAGCATGTGGGAACGCTTAGGCAAGGAGCAACGCCAGTCCCCTGCCTTGTAATTACGCTGGCTCTGCATCAGCCCCTGCCAAAGACGGCTCAACCGCTAATTACCAGCGGCTCTCAGCAGCAGGGCAGGACAGAAACGGGACCCCTCCTTTGCCTCCTCCAGTGCTAACGGGTCTCAGGCTGCAGCCGGGTCTGGATGTTGATGGGAGGACTGGGAATAAACCTGCTCTCTAGGCCGGTTTGCAGGTGCTGCGGTGCTCAAGGGGGCAGCTTCGGCCCGCTGAGGTCCGGCCGAAGGGCCGGCGCGAGGCGTTGCAGCCCGCTGTCGTAGGAGGCAGCGAGGCCGAGCTGGCGCCTGGCGGGCAAGGGCGGCAAGGTGCAGCCCCCTCCTTTCTTGCCTCCAATACCTTGGCAGAAGCTGTCACCCAAGGGCGACTCTGGCCAAGCGCTGGGGCTGGCTCCCAGGAGGGAGCTGAGAGCGGGAGGCGGGAGCGCTGTCCTTGGCCTGGAGGTAGCCGGACCCGGCTGGTCCGTGCCGGAGGTGGGGGACGCAGGACAGCTCCTAGGAGCTATAGAAATACTCCAGGGAAAAGGAAAGGAGGAACCCGCCGCTTTGGAGCCAAAGTCGCCAGCAGGCTGATGGGACCGCGAGGCTCCGGATGGACCACCACCTCGGAGGCCAGGAGGTGAGCTTTCTCGGAGGAGGTGGGCCACGTGCTCGGGCATCGTCTCCTGAATCCCCCCCAGCTCCACCTTCCCCGATACGTAGGCACGGGGAGGGGGCCGCGCCCCCGAGCTCGTCCCCGCAAGCTGCCCGGCTCCTCCGGAGGTGTGTGGGATGGTTTCTAGAGCTGGTTCTTCGTGTGGGGCTTGCTGTGGTCTCCCCGTCAGGCTAGAAAAGCAACCAGAGAGCCTGCCGCGTGGGCACCTGGCTCCTCCGCTCGCTCCTTTTTCGTGCCCGAGGGGAACGGAGGGAGAGCCGAAAGGAGGCAAGAGCGCGACCAAAGCACGGGGGTCTTCTCAAACCTGCTCAGAGGGACGAGAAAGGTCTCCCGGCCGTCCCGGTGTACGCGAGCTAAAACAGGACGTCCTGGACAGCGAGTCCAACCCCTCCGTCGCTGCCCGGGGACGAGCTGGAGGGCTCCTGCTTTTACCGCAATGAGTTGACAAGCGTCAGCGCTATTCGGAGAGGACGCTGTCTTATTTTGCTAACGGTCGTCCAGCAGGTACCGCTTCCTGCTGGGCTGGGACGCTTCTCTCCGTTCTCACTTCTTCCCCTTCCTCGGCCGCAGGTGGAGGGAGCCCACCGTTCCTCCCGCGCCCGCTTTAGACCGAGCGTCCCCAAACGCCACGTCGCTCGTGAAGACGCCTCCTCGCGAAGAGCGTGAGCACGTCCCCCGGTCCCTCAGCGCGCCCCCACGCACGCACGCCAGAGACTCGCCACGTGTGCAATCCTTTAATGATTTAAAGAGTGATCAGCAAGGCGGGCTGGATGCCGCAGGCCGCGTCAAGGGGACCTACGCCGCTGTAGCCCAGCGTAAAGTGGGGGTGCCGGGGAGAGACTCGGCGGAGGTTGCCTCCGCGCCCCGGGCGCTGCTCTAAGGGGCGCGAAAGCTGGCGGGAGGCACTCTGGGGTCCTCGGACGCTGCAGGAGGACCCACGCGGGCGCGCGAGCCCTGGGGCTCTGGACGGCGGAG